ACCAGTCAACAGTGTTGCATTTTCCTTATGGCCATTTCAGCTATTCAAGCCCATGTGTGGAACAAGTAGACAGTCTGATTCAACTAGGGATGGAGTTTGCCCAAGGGCAAAACCACTAAACAGAAGAAAAAGGAGTAAGGGAGGGGTGACTGAACTCAAAAAATACTATCAGTGGGTATTTACCTGGCTTACGTTCTAAAAGCTGCTGTAAATGAAACACCGCTTGTTCATAGTCTTGTTTTCTGAACATGAGATCAGCCATCATCTATAAAGATAAAAGTTGGTTCTAAAAATATTGCCATGTATTTTACACAACATCTTCTTCCAATCAAGATTTAACACTAGAAAAATATAGATGATAAACATGAGGAGGGGGTAGCATTTTATAAAAAGGAGGAATTTAAGGTTCAAGCCCACCTTGAGCAGAGTAACTTGGAGATCAGTGTAACAGAAGATAATCAAGGACGTGAAACAGATTGCTCTGCTTGCAAAATTGTATTTTTAGCAAAAAATATGTTCCTAGCAGTTGTTTTAAAAACAGAAATTTGAAAGGAATTGCACACTGTATGTGCTATTGTAGAAAAGATAACTCACTGAACCTGACTAAAATAACAATGAGAAGATTCAAAAACAAAACAAAATTTAAATCATACCTATTTTGAAAAATTAAAAATGAGCAAGACCTACTGAGATTTTTCTTATTATGTGCTTTAAAATGCAGATTTCATATATTTCTTTTTAACCACAATAACTTTAAATAAACCTCACAAAATGTCATCCACGTAGCTGTCTGCACAGCTAACAAATATTTTAGTCCACATAAAAATAAGAAAAAAAAACAACCAAAATTCTATTCAAAATAGAACATCTTAGACTGATATATGAAGTTGTTTTTTTCCCCTGTAACTCCAAAAATTCCACCCAAACTCTTAAATGTGTCCACCATTCCTAAGTACTTAAAAGTTAGTTCTTAGCAAATTAGTGTTACCACATGAACTCCACCTAACAAGGCATCCCCTTAGGCATAAATAAAAAAGTAACTAGACCCAAAAGGGCATGTAAAAACCTGACCTAGGTTTATCTTTCTTATAAATAAAATCCTAATGATTCTGGGTCTTTATTGGTAAAATGTAGTAAAGTAAGAAAAATGTTATTTCTTCCAAAAGCCAACATGAGCCATGTCTCATCATCTAGTAGTAGTTCCATGGGGTAAAATTTAAAACTTATAAAACACAACTGCTTTTATTGTACCAAAGTTCCTTGGACTGACCATGGTAGCAGCTTCATTATCCTGGTCACTCTGAAGCAGTAAAGCACACTGCCGCAGGCAGGAATCAGGGTCATCTTGTGCCAGGTATAATCGTGCCAGTTCCAACATAATCTGTAAAGCAAAGGGCTAGATTCATCAGACACTGTACAGAATAAAAAGTGAATGAGGAAAATATGTGGACACAGATTAAACTTTAGTTGACCAAAAGTCATTGCAATAAAAATGCCAAGTATAATAGACAAAAAAAACCCCACAAAAAACTGTATGTATACCATCTCTATTTTCTCTTACACTAGAGAAAAAAACAAAGCAAACAAAAAAAAAAACAGAGAAATAGGTAGTAACTCGCTTCAAAAGTAGAGTGACATAATGCATTGTGAAAAGAACACTGGTCTTAAAACCAGGAGATTGGATTCTAGTCCCACGTCCTCCATGACAGGGCCAAGTCAGGTCCCTTCTACCTCTCTTAATCTGCTTTCTCATTTGTAAAATAAAAAGCTTCAAGAGATAATCTCTAAGGTATGCCTCAGATTTAAAAGTAGGATTCCAACTCCTTTAGCCACCACTGAAAAAGGTATCTGTTTGGTTATGCCTTGCTAAAGGTTGTTTTTGCCCTTTATCTGAAAAAACTATATTAATAAAAATGTCCAAACTAGTCATTAAATTCTAGAGGATAGTTGTCTTTTGTACATGATCACTTACTTAAGTGTTTAGCCATTAATTATTTTCAAAAATTAATAATCTCTCCAGATCTTCTCAGATCTTGACAGAGTTAAAACATTTTAGTTTTTATATAACCAGTCATGTATGTAAGTGTACTACACCAAAATTATCTTTACATTTATTCTCCCACTGTGCCATATGAGGCCATAGATTCAGCCTAGCCATTTTTGCATCCTTAGTACTAAACACCAATTGAAATACAGAGTGTACAACAGCTGTTTAGTAAAAGGAACTGAATTATCTAAATCCAGATATTTGTGATTGAGAAATTATTTAAATTATTTTAAAATTATTTCAATTATTTTGATAAATTAAATTGATAAAATAAATTAATTTGAAAATTATTTAAGTTATTTTGATAATTAAAAACACAAATATTAAAACAATTTGCAAGTTGCTTTATATTACTTGTTCCATTACAGTTTTTAAACTGTAATGTTCTGCTTTTTTTTTTTTTTTTGACAGGGTATTGCTTTATTACCCAGGCTGTAGTACAGTGGCATTATCATAGTTAACTGCAGCCTTGACCTTCTGGGCTCAGGTGATCCTCCTGCCTCAGCACCCTGAGGAGCTGGGACTACAGGTACATGCCACCACGTCTGGATAATTTTTGTACTTTTTAGTAGATGGGGGTTTAGCCATGCTGCCTAGGCTGGTCTTGAACTCCTGGACTCAAGTGATCCGCCTGCCTTGGCCTCTCAAAGTGCTGGGATTATAGGCATGAGCCACTGCATCCGGCCTTAAACTTTAATATTCTTAATGTAAGGCATCATATAAGATTTTGAAAGTTTTTGAGGAATAATATTAATCTTTTAACTTGTATTTTTGTTATATTTCTTTGTAAATCTTCTTCTTTTTCTCTATTTTATTTTTTCAGATAGAGTCTCGCTCTATTGCCCAGGCTGGAGTGCAGTGGTGCGATCTTGGGTCACTGCAACCTCCACCTCCCAGGTTCAAGTGATTCTTCTGCCTCAGCCTCCCAAGTAGCTGGGATTACAGGAGGCACCCCCCCCCCAACCATGCTGGCTAATTTTTGTATTTTCAGTACAGACAAGGTTTCCCTATGTTGGTCAGGCTGGTCTCAAACTCCTAACCTCAGATGATCCACACGCCTCGGACTCCCAAAGTGCTAGGATTAGAGGCAAGAGCCACTGCACCCTGCCTACATCTTCTTTTAAAACAAGCTGGTAAAAATTTTACATCTGAGGAAATTAGAGGACATCTGGAATAAAAGGTACTTAAAATTTTATAAAGGTACTGACCTTATTATCTGTTTCATAGTGAACCAGAGCCTCTCTATAAAACTTAATTGCTTTTTCATAGTCTCGCTGAGCAACAGAATGTTTTGCAATCTCTGCACAAATTTCAGCTGCTAAATGTTTCTGTGCAGGAACTGCATCTGGCTGTTCCATCAGAACACGTTTTAGTACCCGAGCTTGTAATTCTCGAGCCTAGAAAAAATCAGGATAAAAGGAATAAAAAAAATAAAGAAAGGAAATTAAATTCTCTATAACTCACACACAGCATAATTTTACAGATATATTTAAACATTATGAACCCTTGATCTAACAAATCCTGATCCAAAGAAAATGTATTCTTGAGATCTCAAGCATGTACTTCTTTGCAAATGAGCCAGCATGCATGTATCTTTCCAACAAAACACTTACGGAATTACCGAGTCTTTTCCCACTGTTACAAGCATGTGTATAGGAAGTTCACTAAGGAGGAAATACAACCTTGAAACAAATACAAAGACGTGGGGCCTTCCTCAGGGTAAGAATGTAGAGTAGATTGTTAAATTGGAAGAATATCAGCCTTTCCACCCATCCATCTGGTTTCTGGAACATTGAGATGTTCCTTCGATAAATGGTAAGAACTCCCATGTTTTAGGTCTTCAAAAATAAAATTCACGTTTCAGCTATACATAATGATTCACTAATGAATGCATTCATTTAACAAACAGTAAATGCCTACCACATGCAATATATTATGCTACACACAGGGCACCCTTCTTGGGAGTCTTGTCAAAATGTTAGCAAACAATTGCTTTGAAACAGGTTTTCTTTTTTTTTTATCCTCTCAAGCCAGAGGTTTAGAGAGTCATAACAGCATTCTTTTGCAAATGAAATAAAAATATAAGTGTATATAGCATGTGGTTAACATTAAAACTGTTTCATGAAATTTTTATTTTGGTTATATTAATATGTGTTTAAGTATGTCAGTATATGTACCTTTGTGTGTTTTGGATTATACATATGCATACATCTGTTCATGTTTTTACATAGCTACACACATATACACACACTCATGCATGTGCTCCTAGTAAAAAACCTGAAAACAATTGGTTTAGATAGGACGATCTCTGTCTTGCAGGAAGGCATCCTTGCATCCCCGAATTCTTGTACCTCTACATATCAAGATGTCCTCCTCTGACATCACTTAGCCAATAGGAAAGTAGAAAGCAGGGAAAGACCCCGGGGCCCATTCCTAGCACCTCAGGGGTAAGGGTACCATCCCAAGGACACAAGTTTCCAGGTAGCAGCCTCCAAGAATTTTGTTAGAGATGTCCCATCACTTATGGCCCTCTACTGTTTTACATCTGGACTCTGAATTGCAAGTGTAAGAAAGAAAGTGAAAATTAAAGAGAAAGTGGAACAAATATTGGTGACAGAGGCCCCTGGCAAACTGCCCCCAGAGGACAGTTGTCCCTTTTCCAACAAGATAAGCGGAAAATGCTGTTGCCATGGGAGTACATAATAGAAAACCTAACTCAGTCTTGGAAGTCAGGTGAGAATTAAAAGAATGGCTAGTAGTTACACCCTGGTGAGTTGGGGAAAAAGAGATGGCATGAAGAGATGGAATGGTTCATAGGCATTAGGAATCACATGTGAAGGAAAGAGAATAAGGGATACACTGTTTGATAAAATAATTAGAAGAAAAAATGGCTGAAAAGATACACAGAATATACAACAGGTAAGCCTGTTAAATAATCTACATTTTATCCTAGAGGCCATGGGAAGCTACTACGCCATGTTTATAAGCATTGGCATGACAGGATCAGGTTGCCTTTGGGAACCATCACCCTGGTGGCACTGTGAAGAACTGACTAGAGGGAAACGAGACTGGAAGAGGATGGGATCAATCAGGAGGATACTTCAGGACTGTAAGCAAGAAATAACGATGGAGTCGGCTAAAAGATGACAGAGAGGGCTACAGAAATGCAGAGTTATTGGAAAAGTCTGAAATGTTTAGGAAGCAAAATTCCAAAGACTTGAGATTTCCCTAAATTTACCATTTCTGTCACTGCCAAAAATGTTTAGCAACTTTGCAAAAACACTATGACAGAACCCCTAAGTTACATCATGTGAAAAATTAAGCTCAATAAATGGTCGCTGAATAAATGAACAGAAAATATCAAAAACTTTGACTCCACTTACAGGTTTCTGTTTGAATTGCATCTTCAGATTTGTCTCTTTGTCATTCAGAATATACAGCATTGTCATCATTGGGAAGAATGTTACAGTTCCTCAAACCTTATCAAAGATGAATAATCCCTGGGCTCTAACATATAAACTCAACAGTTTGGGGTGCTGGTATTGCCTAGCCATGGCATGCTGTTTTTTGATATTGCTTCATATGTCTGCTTTTATAACACAGGGCCTCATACAACTATGGTGACTGGGACTAATGATATTCATAAAGGAGTGAACTGAGCTAAATTTATTTCTAAAATGTTTTAAAAGTCTACATTTACCAAAGATTACACTTTCCTTCTAGCTTCTGATAGCTAACCTATTGCTGGGTGCATTTCTCTATCATGTGATTCAGAAAATAAGAGCTAAAATGTACCAACCATTAAGGATAAGACATTAATATTGTTTAAGATTACATACTTTAATGATATCATAAACTTAGACGGATATCACAGAATCTAATAATCCAAGCTCAATTCATTCACAGCTAGGACAAAAAAATTTTGGGACTTCCTACTGAAACTTGGGTAAGCACCCACACTCATGCACACACACATGCACACACACATATACACGCCCCTGTCGGTTAAATCTCAAAACCAAAACACTATAAATTATTTGCAGAATGCAGAACTCTTCTGGGTACACAGGAATCAAGTCGAAAGGTGACTAGTACAGTATCCTGGAAAGCACAAAGGGTTAGGACTGAGGCATCTGCATTCCACTTCAAACTCTTCTAGTAACCAGCTGTATAATCTTGGACAGATACTCTCTGTGGGAAAATGAGCAGAGTAATACATAAACTGCTTGCTTACCTCAGAGACCTGTTGCTTCCAACATATCACGGGAGCTCACAGACACAGGATAAACAGAATGAGATAAAAATGGTCTTTTTAAAAAAAATCAAGTATGAAGAAGGCAAGTGATGATTTCACAACTAGACAACTGCAAAACAAACCAATATTATGGATCCTATCTGGGGAACGGTAAAGTGCCCTCAGGGAACTTGGGAAGTAAGATTATCCCTCTCAGAAGTAAGCTGCAAAATCAAGACATAATAGATAGAGCAGATAGGCAAAATCGCTTAAATGAGATGGAGAACCTAGAAGATTTACTTAAAAATCTTCCAGTATCTGATACTGAAATAAAATATATCACATTGTGTTCCCTATAAACAAAGTTTCAAACAACTAATTTAAAATGCCTGACAACAATAATGGAAAAGGCAAAAGTAGAATAACAGAATTTGAATAAGAAGAAATGTGTGTTGTAATGTAGCTAACACTGAAAAATAATAAAAGGAGGTATAAATAACACAATAATAGAGGGGAAAGTGGAATAAGAATAATTTAACTCATAAAAGTCAAGAAAATTCAGAAAAAAATAAATTATAAGATGGCAAATCCAAATCCAAATATAATTCATAATTATATTAAATGTTAAAAAATTATAATAGATTAAGATTGTCAAGAAAAAAATTATATGCTGACAGATCTTCAATAAAAGGACACGGAAAATTGAAAGTAAAAGAATGCAGGAGATATACCATGCTAAAAGGAAGCTGGACTTAGCCATATAAACACAAAACAAAGGAGATTTTAAAGCAAGAAGCATTACTAGAAATGAAGAAGGCCATTTTATTATTCTAAAGAACTTAATTCACCAGGAAGATATTGTAATTCTAAATCTGGATCATTCAATAATGTATCTTCTAAATAAATGAAGCAAAAATACATACAACTAAATGGAAAAAGAGAAATCCACAATCACACTGAAAGACTTTAACATCCCTCTCATACAAACAGACCAAAACCAAGCAAACAAATAACAACCAAACCCTAAGAACAGGGAAGATGTAGAGAAATCAATCAACAAATCTGACCTAATTGACATACGGTTGAACTAAGTATTTATTAGGTTGGTGCAAAAATAATTATGGTTACAGCAATGCTAGAAACACATTATTTCAAGTTCACAAAGAACCTTTACCAAAATTGATTATAACGTGGGATGTAAAGCAAGCTTCAACAAATTGCAAAGGATTGAATCATTCAAAGTATGCCTTGGCACAGCAGAAGTGTACTAGAAATCAGTATCAAAAAGATAACAAGCAAATCAGACCTCCATAAAAATTGAATGCTACACTTTTAAATAACCCACTGGTCAAAGAACCAGTCAAAGTGAAAATGAGGAAATGTTTTATAATAATAATAATAATAAATATAATAATAATAATAAAATAATAATAAACTTGTGGAATGCTGATAAACCAGTGTTTTTTTATTGCTTCAAATGAATAAGAAAAGAACAAAAGCTCGAAATCCATTACCTAACATACTATTTCAAGAGGCTAAAAACTAAAATAAAATAAAAATTAGTAAACCAAACCCAAAGAGTGTAGAAGAAATTATGAGGTTGAAAGAAAACATTTCATGAAGCCAGAAAAGGCAAACGTTGACCCTTCGAAAATATTAATAAGATAATGAACCCCTAGCATAATTGATTATCAAAGAAGAAAAATAAAATTACTAATATCAGGTTTGTAAAAGGGGATCTTTTTCACTGCATTTGTAGACATTCAAAAGAAAAGATACAATAAATAAGTTTATGTTAATACATTTAACGATAAACTGACTACTTAAAAAAATCCAAATTGATATAAGAAGCAATTTGAAAATGATCAGTCTGAAGTCTATTAAAACCTTTCCTTCAAAGAGTTGGGTCTCAAGGTCTGGAACACTGAATTGTTCCAAACATCAAAGAATTAGCAGCCAGGTGCGGTGGCTCACACCTGTAATCCCAGCACTTTGGAAGGCCAAGGCAGGTGGATCACCTGAGGTCAGGAGTTTGAGACCAGCCCAACCAACATGGTGAAACCCCGTCTCTGCTAAAAATACGAAAACTACAAAAATTAGTTGGGCATGGTGGTAAGCGTCTATAATCCCAGCAACTCGGGAGGCTGAGGCAATAGAATTGCTTCAACCTGGGAGGCAGAGGTTGCAGTGAGCTGAGATCATGCCATTATACTCCAGCCTGGGCAACAAGAGTGAAACTCCGTCTCAAAAACAAAACAAAACAAAAAAAGAAAAAAGAAAAAAAGAATTAGCATCAATTTGTTGAACACACAGATGTAGAAATCCTGAACAAAATACTGTAAAACAACTTTACATTCCAGCAAATCTTTTAAAAAATTGTATCAAAGTAACATTTATTTCAATGATGTAAGTGTGGTTTAACATTTGAAAATAAATCAATTTAATATACCACATTTGAAAAGAAAAATGGGAGGAAAGACATATGATCATCTTGACAGATGCATAGAGTATATTTGATAATAATTTAAGTGACTTATAAAGAAGTTGTTAGCAAACCAGAAACTGAATCATCACAAAAAAAAAAATCAACCAGTTGGGAACATACCTAAGGAAATCTGTGTAAAACCTCTATGTTGAGAACCACAAAATATTAAGAGAAAAAAGAACAACTAAATAAATGGAGGAAGAAAGCACTAAGTGCAAATCCTGATGATGACACTAGTCATATGACTTCACACAAGTTATTCAACCAAGTCTCCTCAGCTATAAAACAGGATTTAAAAATTCCAATCTTTCCTAATTGTTATAATAGTAGTAATAATATATTTAAAATGTATAATCCATAAGCATTCAATAAGTATTTTGATTTTGACATATTTTCTGCAGCTGTTTGGCCAAAAGAGATTGCTTTCCTCTTATACATGGCATATTTCCTTCTGCATCCATCTCCTCCTACCTCATGACCACACTCACAGACAAATGCGTTTACCTGTTGTAATGCAGTGATCGCATCACCAGGTCTTTCCATTTTACTATAAACTTTTGCTAGAAGAACTTGACAACGTCCATCCTCCATGAGAGCTGACAGTTCATTTACTATGAAAGAATGGAATGTAATGGAAAAAATTATTCATCTTAAATAAATATTTACATTTTTCCAGAATTTTAAAAACTGGGCTCTAGAAAAAATGATTTTGAAAAATACTGAATACAGTTAAAATTTTCTCAGTTACCTGAAGAATGGTCAAATTAAAAAAAAAAAAAGAAAAGAAAAGATTTAAGATAAAAACTGGCTGGATGAAAAGTTAAAGAACTGGTTAACAACTAGAGGCTTTTCTTAGACATATATTAAGAGATAACAATTTAACACCACAATAATTTCCAGTTTTACCCTTAAGTGTATAAAAATTTGTTTACAGAAGTCATTAAAAGAAGATACGGTAGTTGCTATATGCAGTTAAGAAGATAACTGCTCTTTTAAAAATCAAAGATACTTGATAAGCAATAAAGTACAGTTATTAAGAGCACTGACTTTGATGTTGAACAGTCTGGTTTCAAATCTAGGCTTTACCACTTACTAGCCCTTTAATTTTGAGCATGGTACTTAACCATTCTGTAATTCCCTCTCATCTGTAAAATAGGAAAAATGATAGCACTTGCCTCACAGGGTGGATGTAAGATTTTAAAAGCTAATAAGTTACTAAATAAGTTAAAATATGCAAAGTAATGAAAACAAACTCTGGTACATGGTAAGTGCTTTTTAAATATTTGGTTAATGCCAAATACTTTATAAAAAATTTTATTAAAAATAGGGTTATATAAAAAAAACCCCTAGAAAATTAACAAAAATGTTTCCTCCACCATCTGTCAAGTGCACAGTTCATGACACGCCATGCCATTTTGCCAACTAGGTAGTTTTGAACATATCAATAAAACTGAGTTTCAGATTGCTAAATTTAAAATGGGTATGATTATATCTGCCTCAAAGATGAATACGAGTCCTGAGGAGATAATGTATGAAATGTATATGAAGGCATCTGCGTATGTCATGGGCATGCTCAGCAAATATTAAATGAAAGATTTTATGTTACATGAATATAATATACCCACTGTAACTAAAACAGATGATACTT